GGTTTGGACTGTACTGGATGAATCTGGATTGGACTGGAATGGACTTGGCTGGACTGAACTAGACTGGAAAGGTTAAAACTGAAATGGACTGGACTGGACTCGACTGGACTGGACTGGACTGGAATGGGCTGAAGTGCATTGGCCTGGACTGGACTAAACTGGAATGCACTGGACTGGACAAAACTGGAGTCGACTGAACTGGAGTGGACTGTACTGTACTGGATTGGACTGGACTGGACTGGATTGGCCGAATCGGACTGGAATGGACGGGATTGGACTGGAGTGAAGTGGACTGGACTGGACTGGACTCTACTGGACAAAACTGGACTGGACTGGACTGGAAGGTACTGGACCGGACTGGACTTCACTGGGCTGAACTGGACTGGATTAGACTGGAATGGACTGGATTGGACTTGGCTGGACTGCACTGGACTGGATTGGACAAAATTTCAATGGAAGGGAAAAGACAAACCTGGAATCGACTGGATTGGACTGGACTGTACTGGACTGGTTTGGACTGGACTGGACTGGACTGGACTGGAATGGCCTGGACTGGACTGGACTGGGCTGAACTGGACTGGATTCGACTGGACTGGACTGGATTGGACGTGGCTGGACAACACTGCACTGGACTGGACTTAATTGGAATGGACTGGACTGGACAAACCTGGACTCGGCTGGACTGGACTGGACTGTTCTGGCCTGGATTGGACTGGACTGGACTGGACTGGCCTGGACTGGCCGGGACCGAACTGGACTGGACTGGTCTGGACTGTACGGGATTGGACTGCACCGGACTGGACTGGACTCGACTGAACTGAACTGGACTGGACTGCGCTGGCTGCATTTAGCTGGACTGGACTGGACTGGCCGGGACCGGACTGGATTGAACTGGACTGGACTCGAGTGGACTGGACAAAATTGGACTGGACTGGCCTGGACTAGACTGGACTGGACTGGACCGGACTGGACTGGACATAGCGAAACTGGACTGGATTAGACTGTAATTGATTGGATTGGACTTGGCTGGACTGCAATGGACTGGACAAAACTGAAATGGACCGTACCGGACTGGACTGAACTGGACTGGACAGGACTGCACCCGAATGGACTGCACTGGACTGGACTGGACTGGACTGGACTGGACTGGACTGGACTGGACTGGAATGGACCCTATTGGTCATGACTGACCTGGAGGGGACTTGACTGTACTAAACCGCACTGGACTGGACTGAAATGGACTGGACTGGACTGGACCGGACTGGACTAGACTGGACTGGAGTGGGTTGGACTGGCCTGCACTGGACTGGCCTGGATTGGACTGGACTGGACTGTAGTGGACGTGACTGTACTAAACAGCACTGGACTGGACTGGACTGGAATGCACTGAACTGTACCGTAGTGGACTCAACTGCAATGGAAAGGACTGGAATATACTTTACTGGACTGGATTGGATTCCACTAGGTTTCACTGGAATGCACTGGATTGTAATTTAGTCGACTGGACTGGACTGGACTGGGCTGAACTGGACTGTATTAGACTTCAATGGGGTGGATTAGACTTGGCTGGACTGCACTGGACTGGACTGGACTAAATTGGAATGGACTAGACTGAACAAACCAGGACTCGACTGGACTGGAGTGGAATGTACTGGAATGTATTGGACTGGACTGGACTGGACTGGACTGCCCGGGACCGGACTGGACTGGACTGGTCTGGACTGTACGGGATTGGACTGGAATGGACTTGACTGGACTGGACTGGACTGGACTGGACTGGACTGAACTGGACTGGACTGGACTGGACAGGGTTGGACTGGAATGGACTGGACAGGCCTGGATGGGTTGGACTGGACTGGAGTGTACCTGACTATACTAAACTGCACTGCACTTGACTGGACTGGACTGGACTGGACTGCAATGTTTTGGACTGGACTGGGCTGCAATGGAGTGGTTTGTACTGGACTGGACTAGACTGGATTGGAGTGGGTTGGACTGGCCTGCACTGGACAGGCCTGGATTGGACTGGACTGGTCTGTAGTGGACGTGACTGTACTAAACAGCACTGGACTGGACTGGACTTAAATGGACTGAACTGTACCGGAGTGGACACAACTGCAATGGAAAGGACTGGAATGTACTTTACTGGACTGGATTGGATTGGACTAGTTTCACTGGAGTGCACTGGATTGTACTGGAGTGGACTGGACTGGACTGGACTGAACTGGACTGCACTTTACCGCACTTGACTGGAATGCCCGGGACCGGACTGGACTGGACTGGACTGGATGAGACTGAACGGGACTGGACTGGACTGGACTGGACTGGATCGGACTGGACTGGACTGGGCTGAACTGGACCGGAATAGACTGGACTGGACTGGACTGGACTTGACTGGACTGGGCTGAACTGGACTGGATTAGACTGGAATGGCGTGGATTGGACTTGGCTGGACTGCACTGGACGGAACTGGACTAAATTGGAATGGACTAGAATGAACAAACCTGGACTCGACAGGACGGCGTGGACTGTACTGGAATGGATTGGACTGGACTGCATTGGAATGGACGTGACTGGACTGGACTGGACGGGACTAGACTGGACAGGACCGGACTGGACTGGACTGGGCTGGACAGGCCTAGAATGTTCTAAACTGCACTGGACTGGAATGGACTGGAATGGACTGGACTGGACTGGAGTGTACTGGACTGCAATGGAGTGCAGTGGACTGGATTCGACTGGCCTGAACACGACTGGAGTGGACTGGACTGGCCTGGACCGGTTTGGACTGGACTGGACTTGACTGAACTGAACT